CTCTCAGCCTCCTAAGTAGCTAAGATTACAGGCTTGAGTCACCAGCATCCAGCTTTAAGTGTATTTTTATGGTTCAGTTTGAGCATTCTTTTTAGATTCCAGATACTATGGATTATGTAGTTTACAACAATTTTTTTTTTTGAGGACCAAGACTGAAACTAAATGAACAAAGTATAAAACAAGACCATGGAAATGTTTCAGCTGTACGTGGTTGTGGAAAAAGGGTGATGGTAGAGAAAGAGGAAAGGGATGGGGATCTCTCAAAGCTCATGAAGGCAATGGTTCCCCTTTGGCACAGCTTGGGGCAGTGAAGGCCAGGTGCAGGGACAGAACATTCACCAAGGAAACTGACTCTTCCCAGACCCTTCCCAGATTTGACTCATCGGAATCATGTCTCCAGACAGAAAGAGAAGGGTAAGAAAAACACTGATTTTTTTTTTTAATGAAGGGAAAAGAGTCCTCATTTCTATTTCCTGGGGTTCATTTCGATAAATATTATTTTATATGATCAGCCTTTGTGTTCCTCTCCTAAGAATGATTTTTTTTTAATTAAGTCAGAGAAGCGCCTCTTTTTTGAAATAATGGAACACATGTAATCTAATCTTTGAGGCCTCTCACAGACTAAGGGAAAAATACCTTGGTTTGAAACAATTGCTGGGATAATCCAACATTCTTACAAGTATCTTCTTCAGGAGAAAAAAATCTTTTAAATTAGAAATGTAAAATTGACATTTCCCTCCCCCCCCCCAAACTAAGCTGTAGCACTGCCTATGAATATATATTAAAATCACCCTATTTGACAAATAAAGGTCTGTGTGAGCTCAAAAACGTATGCAATATTTACTCATGCTATCTTGGTTTCTCTGAAAGCCCAGAAGGAACAGAACTGGGGGCTCTCTACCTTAAGTGGAATTATTACAGCTTAATTTCACCCCTGATGTCAGATCATAATGTACCACTATATCAGGGTTCATTTAATTCTCTCCCTACTGTTTGAGAGAGAATTAAAACTAAAAATCACAGAGGTAGTGCCAAAGTGCCACACTTCACTTCACCTTGGACACCCATCAGACATTCTTATCGAACATGGAAAATTGCTGGTATAAATGGTATCACAATAAATACACTTCCCGTTAACATGCAGGTCACAGAGAGGAAAAAAACCCAGGAGTCATAAAATACCTTAATCCTTCTCAAGGTTGTCCAAAGACAGTGGGGGTCGGGGGATGGGGGGGGGGGGGGGAGAAAGGACAGGGCTTTGGACTAGGCTGTTTATTTTTATGATGCAATTTAATCTGGGATGCCACAAGCAGGTAGAGGGTAGGGAAGATCGTTAGGAAGTAACATCATAAAGTAGCAAGAAAGAGCTAAAAGAAGACTGTTCTGTGGGTTTCTCACTTCTATGCATAGATATGAGAATATTATGGTAACTTGCTAGTCTTGGCTAGCACTGACTTGGGGCTTACTCAAAATGTAAGAGGCCAAATATCTCTTGCATATATTCCAAGGGCTGGACACTCTGTGTGTATCATCTTATTTAAGTCTTAAAGAAAATAATCTTGTAAGCTTAGGAAGTAGTCTTGTGAGACAACGGAGGAGATACAAGCTGGAAGGATGGAGTGAGCTGCTCAAGGTCACATACCAGGTTTGACTCTAGGGCTGACTGCTAAGCCAGACCTCCTTCTGTGACCCAAAGGTCCCAGACAGGAGTGATTCCTTTGAAGTCTGTTGTGCATTCTTTAGTAGGTTTCAACACTAAGAGAAGAAGACATAGGAGAAATCCCAGGACCCAGGAACAACCAGGCCAGGGCTGAGTTTGGCTATGCAGCAAGCCACAGTGGGGTCTTCCAGGCAGAAGCTTCCTGCAGCCTACCCCTAGGTCACAAGAGAGGCAGATGACTTCCATGTCTGTTCCATGCGTCTGGAAAATTAACATTCTCTCTGTAGGCATCTGTTAAGTCGACATAATAAAAGCATAAAGAATGGATTCTGGAATCCATAGTTTGGAACTCTGAATTCGAACCAGAACAAAATGAAGGAAGCGCCTGAAACTGATTACTTTGTGAGCTCTCAGAAAAAAAAGTGATGGCATCTCAGAGTAGTTGGAGTTCACAAGGAATAAATCGTGTCCTTACTTGTGAGTTTCCAGGCATGCAGGAAAACAACAGCCATGACTGCAAAAGCTGATCCAGGCATTTGACAGGGTCTTCCCTTGGACTCTGTCTATGTCAAATCACCCCATTCGTCACACTGGTTGCATCGGAACTGTTCTCTTGTCACTTAGGTAATTTCAGGGGGCTCAGATTAATGTCTGCCCCTATTGGGAACACAGGGGGATGCATCTGTTCCCGTGTGCCTTCTATTTAGCACAGCACTGAAATACATAGAAGACAGATGATAGATAGAACATAGAACACAGATCTCAACAAGAGATCTGTTGAATGAATGGAGGCAGTATAGCATGGTTGGTTATGAGAGAGACAGACTCTACCACCTCCCTGTGTGTGACCTCACTGAATTTTGACCTCATTTATAAAACAGGTACTGGTAACTCACAACTGTAATCCTAGCTACTCCAAATGCTGAAGTCTGAGGATTGAGTTTCAAAGCTGGCCCTGGCAGAAAAGTCTGTTAAGTCTCTTATCTACAATTAACCACCAGAAAATGGGAAGTGGAGCTGTGACTCAAAGTGGTAGAGCACTAGCTTTAAGCAAAAAGAACTCAGGGATGCAAAGAGACAGGTTCCACAACCAACAAAAGCAAAAAACAAGGCACCTTATAGGGCTGTTAGAAGAGTAACCAAGGCACTTCTTCCCATACACACTGGTGAATAGTTAGAAGGGTAGGACTGTATGTTAAGTACATAAAACAAACAGGTGCTAACTAGTTGTTAAAGGATAAGTATTAATTAAACTGACATTTGATTTAGGAAAAAAAAATGCAAGTGGATTGTTGCTGAAATATAGGCCAATTATATTGATCAGAAACCATCCACATAACAGAAATCAGGATCTAAATTTAATTCAGCCTCCATCCCGTAAGTCTGTGCCTATGTGTTGGGCAAACAACCATTTACAACTGGGACTATGTCCAATATCTTAAGAGAAATAAAGCTTGAATTCTTAATAAAGTCAATAGACGCTTTAGGTTTGTCTGAAGCTATTGACTAGTCATACTTTAGGCTGAATAATTTCCATCAAAAATCGGTAAACAAGAACAACAGCAAAAAAAAAAAATCAAGTTTTAAAAGCCACAAGATGTTCACTACACAAACTCATCCAGCCTAAAGAATTCCACTTGGGGGGCTGGGAAGTTGGCTCAGTGGTAGAGCGCTTGCCTTGCATGCCTGAGGCCCTGGGTTCGATTCCTCAGCACCACATAAGCAAAAAGAAAAAAAGCCGGAAGTGGCGCTGTGGCTCAAGTGGTAGAGCACTAGCCTTGAGCTGAAGAGCTGAGGGACAGCGTTCAGGCCCCACAACCGGACCCAAAAAAAAAAAAATTCCACTTGGAAAAGCCATAGGGCACACGATGCAAGGCAAGAATATACTTGTAGGCAAAAGGACATACTACACATGGCTCATATGATACTGCTCATTTGGCCAGCTGTATTTTTTTTTTTTCATGGGGCTTGAACTCTGGGCCTGGGTGCTGTCCCTCAGCTCTTCAGCTCGAGGCTAGCACTCTACCACTTAAGCCACAGCGCCACTTGCGGCTTTTTTCTGCTTATGTGGTGCTGAGGAATCGAACCCAGGGCCTCATGCATGCAAGGCAAGCACTCTACCACTGAGCCACCTTCCCAGCCCCCAGCTGTATCTTAATTAATATATATTGGTTGTCTTTTAAAATTATCTTTGAGTAGTTGTACAAAGGGGTTTCAATTCAACCTGGAGACTGTGAGTATAATACATCTTACCAATGTCACCCATCAATATTACTTCCATCATTTCCCTATCTCTCCCCAACCCACCCATACCCTTGATTTTCCTAGTTTTATTTTCACACATACACATGTTTGGATTTTTAGACATTCCTTTGCAAGTGCTCATTCTTTACCAGTCAGAGACATTCATTTCTGTTCTTTTCAATAATGAAATGTTGCATAAGAAAACATTTTCTTTAAAATGCACTGGGTGCCGGTGGCTCATGCCTGTCATCCTAGCTACTCAGGAGGCTAAGAGGTAAGCATTGCATTTTCAAAGCCAGCTGGGGCAGGAAAGTCTGTGAAACTCTTATATCCACTAAACTACTCAGGAAAATCCAGAAGTGGTGCTGTGACTCAAGTGGTAAAACTAGCCTTGAACAAAATAGTTCAGCGGTAGTGCCAAGGCCCAGAGTTTCAAGCCCACTTACTGGCATCAAAAAAAGTTTATGAATATATTCAACATATATGAACACATAAGTAAATCTTTTCATCTGTATCTGATACAGACATATAAATGACTTACAATCTCTGGAGAAACATGTACAGATTCTGAATGCCATTTCACTCCTTCAATATGGAAATAGAAAGCCAAAGAGATAGAATACTTCTTGGTCAGATATTTATCATAGATCACATATTTTAGGCTAAGTCATGCCGTCTATACCAGAAATGCTAAGGAGATTCATTAGTAACGGTCTAGGATATACTCTTCAAAAGGAGCACATGTTAAAACCCATTAGAGAATGCTTGTTGACCTTCTGAAGAACAGCCAAGGAGCTCAAAGGCACTTGATTCACTGGACCACACAGGTCCATGCAGAGAGCACCAGGAAGGAGGCCCCCATGGAGGCCCAATGTCTTTTCAGCATTGTGAAAGGTGAGTGGGGTGGAGGGACACAGAGACATGTTCACCGTGGTGGCCAGACATGAACTACGCACACCCTGTAGTAAATGTATGCCCCATGTGCTGTGGTGAATGAATCAGATGAGCAGTTTTACTAATGTTGACAAGGACAGCAGCCAGCATAACCCTGCACAGCCCGCCTGTCAATTCTGCTGAGCTGGGGCCCCTGACTGACCTGTTTGGTGCAGGTGATCTCTGGCCACTTCAAACAAGCGCAGGTGCATGTTGGTGATCGGGTTGAAGGAGCCACAGGCCAGAAGCACCACGGGGATCTGGCTCTTCATCTTCTCAGGGACGTCCACGCCTGCGGCAGTGGCCACCCTGCCTCTATGGGAATAAGCACACAGGTCAGTGAGCTGGCAGCAAGACAAGTGTCCAGATCAGGGTCTAAACCGGCACAAGCTATCACCTTACCTGCTCAACTGTTTGAGTCATACTCCATGAGATTCCCCCATGGCCTTTGGTCTTATGTTTCCATACAAGCTGATCATCCCTCCAACCTGAACCCTATCAGCTCATCCCAGTCTGTTAAGATCCAGTGCAGATGATCACATCATTATTTATACTATTTGTTGAATGCCTGCTAGGGGCCAGTTATCAGTGAGGGATGCAGCTGTCTTTAAGTCCCAGAAGTCTGACCTTAGCAGTATAAACAAACATGCCCATTTGTTTCTCACATGACCACGGGTCTACAGGTATGCAGCTGATGGTATCAGAGTAGGAGCTCAACATCTGCCTGCAATTCTTTTGGCTTTTTCCCTCATGGTTTTAAGATTGTTGCTGGAGTGGTGGCCATTGTGACCTCAATCAAAGCAAGCCAAAAGAGCAAGGAGCTGTCTTTCCTAATCAGAACCCAAGTGTCTTTTCAGAACCCCCTGTAGATATTGTTTCTGTCTCGTGGGCTAGAACAAAATTGGTCTGAGGTTCATTCTAGCCCCAAGAATATGTGTGTGCACAGGCATGTATTTACCCTCACAGACTCTCTGGTGGGAAGCCGAAAGGATCCCACAGAGCTGGGTGACATCTGTTGGGTTGCTGATAAGTGCAGAAGGCTGCTAGCTTTTCTGACTTTCTGACCCCCTGGCATGGGTCAGGTGACATTTACCATTAGTAAATTACATGTCATAGTAATAACAAAATGTGCTCATGTGTGCGTCTTATGCATTGGTCAGCTGGATTTCACCTCCAAGCACAAAGGCTGGTCCAAAATAGACTACACTCTATACAGGCTAGCACAGAGCACTGACTGGGAGCACTGGACAGGAGACCTGCTCCCTGGTGGTGGGAAGGCCAACTGCCCTTCCCAAACACATAAAGAGTTGGTCTGTTCTGGCTCTATGTGGAGCAACACAAGGAAGAAGAAAATCAGTAGGCACAGTGTAGGTTCTCCAGGCTTTCTCTGTGGGAACAGGCACACCCCCTGCAGTGTGCAAAGAAAGCAGTCTTCAAGCTGCTGCCATCAGTGGCAGTGGTTTTGCAGGGAGTGGGGGAAGAGGGTGAAGTGGTTTAATGAGATGTTATTTACAAAGTGTGCTGAGCTTGTTTGGGAGAGCAGCCTCCTGATGAGGTATTTGAAGAAGACGGCTGGTTGTTGTTTTTGTTTTTGTTTTTCTCACACCTATTCTGAAGCCTGTCAATATTTCATTTCATTCTTACAAAATATACAATTTGTGAGCCATTATAACACATAACTACAGCATTTCGAGACACCTGGGGTTCTGATTCATTCCCCCCCCCCCTCCCGAATTTCCAAAAACTGTAAACTTCATTTGCTTAAGAGGCGATATCAATGGTGATGAGGGCTGATGCTGAGGAAAGCCAAGGACCCGGGCCTCTCTGCCTTTTCTTTCCGTGCCTGTGACAGCCTGAGCCACACTGCTCTGTGTCCTTGCACTATACTGGCCATATCCCAGGCTGGAGAACCCAGCAAGTGCACAGGACCAGGCTCAGTAATGGATCAGAACATCCACTAAGACCCATCCAAGCCAGCCCAGAGAAATACAATGCTCCGGTAGAAACAGACAGGCTCCAGAGGCAAACCAGCTTCTGGCTTGAGCACATACCTCACTAGACACAAGGCAAATGCAGGTACTATGAGACCCATCTGCTTTCTCATCCAGTGATATGTAGCGGGACCAGTAAGTGGAGGAGATGGGTCCCACCCCAGGCTGCTGTGTCAATAAGCAGGTAATGGAGGCCCACAGAGTGAACAATAATCACTACTGAGGATTTAAAATGGTGAGAATTCCGTCTCAGAATCTATCATTAAGCTAGATTCTGCCTCTGGCCTTGGCTCCCTCTCCAGTTGGGTCAGCCCAGACAGCATTTTCATCCTGCTAGCCAATGGTACCACTCTGCTCCTGCCAGCGCCACCAAGGCCTCCAGGACGGCCCTCGTCACCCTGCATCCCTGGACAGTTATGCCGTGTCCCCTCCTTGTCCTGCTACTCCTGCACCTGTGACATGTCATCATTGCCTTCTTACTGGCCTTGGAACTGCCACCGACTTTTCCTCCTGTGGCTCTACCCCAGAGACTTGTCACAGAGACCCAGAAGGGAAGGTGAGCCACTGCAGGTATCTAATGCTAATATTGCTTGGGATACCATCAACTTACCTGTCCCTGCAGTAAGCCCAACCCAAGAATGTGGCTGCACACATCCCTGTTTATTATTAGACATAAAATAGATGGCTTTGGGCAGAATGGAAATGGATTCTACAAGCATCCTTCTTTGCACAGGCCTCTTGACCAGACTTCTCATCTTAAAGGAAACAAGAGATATGGTTTGTATTCATGGATTGCCAACCACATTTTTCAGGACCCAGGGCGATCATTTCCATGTATGAGAATGTGTCAACTTCTCCCGGGCAATCAGCCCCTATGTGAACTTGAAGCCTGGTACTTTTGTTGATTTCAACTTTGTTGGATTCGCCTGCTGTTTCTACGGGCGCACAATGCTACTAAGAACAAAAGCAAAATGCGCCTTCGATGTCAGAGTAAAGATTCTCTGCCAGCCACCCCTTGGAGGAAACAAAATGCTAATTAAGCCCTCGTCCTAATTATGAGACTCACAGGAAAGCAGGCGGCCCAGCTCCCAGCTCTTCAGCTTGGAGAACTTTCGGAAGATCTGAAGAGAGCACAGGACTGGAAGGAGGTCCCTGGCAATGCCACACTGGTATCTTTGGGACTCATTTCAGTGGCTGTAACCCGTGGAGCTCAAGTACAGTTACTGTGGTTATTGAGTGATGGTTGCACTGTGCTGGAGATACATTACAGGTTGAAGCTAAAGCTCAGTTATGTCACACGCCTGGAAGGAAGGGCTTTGTGCCTGCACTCTGTTAAGTTGCCTACTCTACTCTCTAAGGCTCAGGGAGCCCCGTAGAAAACAGCGATAATTACACATCCCTTTCCTGAGAGTGTCTGGAGCTGACCCTCTTTACACAGTTATCTGGCTCCGTGTGGGGCTCTCCAAAGACTTTGGCTCCTTTCTTTCATTAGGTTCAAAACAAAATCCACAGTTCTCTCTCCCTGCCACCAGATGCTTGTTTATATTGTTTGGAAAAGACTCTGCCATGTTTCTAGTCCCCTATGATCATAACCTGGCAGCCTTTGGGCAAATGCTCAGCATCCTTCAGATTAGGCAGGCTGCTCAGCCCAACTTGCCCTGGGGAGATGGTACCACATTCCCTCCCCCCCAGGAAGCCCAACGCAACATACCATGGCTGTGGTCCTCCACCAGCGCCAAATAACACAGCTCAGCTCCAAGCCTCCTTTGTCCCTGGACGAGTCCCCATGGCAGACTTGCCAACTTGGAACAAAAAGCAGACGAGGGAAAAGGAGGTGAGAAGTACCTGAAATCCGCTAGGAGGAAGGCAGAGCAGCAGATAATAAAACCACCGCCCGCCAGCTGCTGTGCTGGAGAAAAGAGGAACAATCTGCTTCTGCTCTAGAGAAGGTTCTAGGCCAGCAAACAAAACATACATCAGGGGGCCTCAAGTAGGGCAGACTCTGCTGGCAGAATCTTCCAAGATCCATTCGACTTTTCCTTTTCAGTCCCGAAATCCCTGTATTTTGCTGGCCATGTTGCTACATTTCCCAGACTCCTTGGCAGCAGGAAGAGGCCATATGATAAAGGTCTGGCCATAAAATGGAAAGACACACTTTTCTCCTATCTTCTACGTGGGCATGGGCAGTGATCGTGGGTTTTGAGTACAAGATCCAACTACAGTTTTACAGAGAAGACAAAAGCAGGGCTCTAATAACCTTGATGCTACTGTACCAGCCCTGGACTATTTAACCTCTAGGAATCTTTTACCAGGGGGAGAAATCACCTTCTAAGCTACTACTGGTTTTGTTTTGTTTTCTTTTTAAGTTTTCTCTTCTATATGTTGCTGAACCTAATTCTAACTGATATACTGATATCTGATGAATGTTTACTGAAATAGTATATAAAGAAATGACAAAAGTATGTAAACTTTCAGAAGTTCCTATTGCTCCAGTTAAATCTATTTTATATGTAGTAACTCAAGCGCGTATTGTTTGAAAGGGAAAATATACTTAGGGAAAAAAAATCTACTATAATTTAATTTTTATATGAATTTTTTATAGGAAGGGGAAAATCCTTGCTCAGGATTCTAGAAGGCTGAACTGTACAGTAGTGAATCTGCTTTTGTGTACATCAATGAAAACCCAGACATTGTCCTAGCTACTCACCACTCCTCCCCCACGCCCCTCTCCCCTCAAAAAACAGATTCATGATGGTATGTTCTTACTACTGCTCTGAGTGGGCATTTGCCATATGGCTTGGTAGCTTAATGGTTTTCTGGTACTTGACAAAAAATAAATAAAAAAAATAAACACCAAAGCACAATCATTTTTGCAAAGAGTCTGCATTCTTAGATGGGTCTTTTCCAAATAACAGCTGGGCCTCAAAATTGAGCTCCTTGATTTGCAATTTGTGGACACAATACTCAAAACATTTACAAGAGAGAAAAACCTCCAGTCACTTGGGCTATTTCCAGGCTTCAGAGTTTATGAAGTTTTGTTGTTTTTTTTTTTTTAGCAGTTTTAGGAGTGAGTGAGCGGTTATCAATAAGCTGAAGCCAACCACCAGAACACATGAGAAATAGTCTGCCCTACGTACCAGCGGGCTGTGACCACAAATGAAAGGAAGGAAAAAGGGATGAGAAAGCAAGAAGCTCCCATTACGTCCACAGAATAAATCCTTATGCCTTTCTCCTCACGCTGTCCCACGTTTCCACAAACAGTGCCCAGATCTACAGCTCTGGTCTTGACCTTGTTTATGTGTGTCTATAGGTCTATGGAGATTCATAGACACCAGTTTGATAAGAAGCCGGCCATATGTGGAATCAAAGCCACTAGTGGAGTGACCTTGATGGACTGTGTTATTCAGGAGAGGCCACATAAGCTTCAATAACAAACAGACCTCAAATCTTAGTGGCATAAAGCAATCAAAGTTTATTGTACACTTTACAAAGTCTCTTCATGCTAGTGGGGAGCTCTGCTCTATCATCTTGTTTTCTTAATCAAGGATAAGAGGTCAGGCATTATCTGGGGCATTCCTATGTGCTTGAACACAGAAATGTGTTCTCTATCTGCCTGGTCCACACTCTTGTCCTACAGCCTCTATAATATATAGGTACTGAACAGAGGGAGTCCTGCTGAAATTAACAGTAGTTTGGGCCATTCTTGACCAAATCCTGGAATGCACAGGATATGCTGAGCCATGTGGTTTAATTTATGAGCATGTAGGTCTGCAGTAAGACTGGACAATGAAGTATAAGATATTAGCATTTAAGTGGCCAGGGCAAGGCCATGTCCAAAACCATGTCATGGGTAGACAGTGTCTGAAGGAGCAGAGATTGAATTCTGTCAGTTCAGTGTATGCTCACAAACCTCATCCTTGTATTGGAATGATGCTAACTGCCTGTGAGATATGCTTTTGTCCTGGTCCTGGGCACTTCCAGTTCCAACACAGGCCATTGTTATTAGTTACAGTGGAATACCCGTGTACTCATCCAGGCACATTTGAAACATGTTTTCCAAGGTTTGAATGGAGTCTGAGCTACAAGAAGGAAGGTAAAGCTAAGCAACAGTGGCTTACACCTGTAATCCTAGCAACTCAGGAGGCTGAGATCTAAGGAACATAGTTCAAAGCCAACCAAAGCAGCAAACTCTTCAATACTCCAGTTAACCACCAAAAAGCTAGAAGTGGAGCCGGGGCTCAAGTGGCAGAGCACCAACCTTGAGTAAAAACGCTAAGGGACAGTTCCTAAGTTCAAGTCCCAGTACTGGTGTGTGTCTGCATGGGTCACACACAAGAAGGTGGAAAAAAAAACAACAAAAAAAAAACACTGCTAGGGCAGGCAAGCTGTTGCTCACCTACATGTTTCCAGATCAAAAAGAGAAGATAGGCACATTTGTACCTCAAGTGCTGTAGTTGTGCATGCAGTCCCAGCCCTCAATCCAAAGAGCTTGTCAGCTAGAGATTTTCTGTGTGACCTTGTTTCTGCCAACGTCACCTTTGAAGCCAATATTTCAGCGCACAAAGCAAAAGAATTCCCTTCTTTGTGAATGAAAATAAGTTTTGCCAGAGAGTTCAAAGGAAATATAGAGCATGCTTCAGCAGTAGGTTAAAGTTTATTGGAAAAGAGGTAAACACACACACACACACACACATACACACATACACACACACAGTAGGCTGGATAATGTTTTCCACAAGTATCAGTAAATGTTATGTTCATTGGAGAAAAGGTCCCTGCAAATGTGATTAAATTAAGGCAGAGGTGCTTAAGACAAGCATGGGTATCTTTGTAAGGGGGAAGGTAAGGACATCTGACACTGAGAAATAAGCAGGCATTGTGAAGGGAAACAGGGAGGACTTGGAGAGGCTCCTCTTGAGACTGCAGTGATGTGGCACTGAGCCAAGGCCTGTTGGCAGCCACTGGAAAGCTCGCATAGATGAGCAACACATTCCCTCTGGAGTTTCAGAAGGGAAAGCAGCTCTGCAGATGCCTTGACTTTGACCTTTGGATACTGATTTCAGACCTCTGATCTGCAGAAGTGAGAAAAATTAATTTCTGTTGTTTTAAGCTACCAAGTTTGTGGGAATTTGTTACAGCCGTCAGAGGAGTCCCAGAGCTGTTGGAGGGAAGTTTCAGTGTTTATAACAGCTATCCCCCAAATAACTGTATGTTCTTGGGTGGCATTTTATGGAATTAAAATTCTGGCCTCCAGCAAGTGGGATGTATGAGAGATGACAGCTAGCACAGGTTAAAACAAATGACCATCCGACACTCTGCTCAGTGCAATGCCCTCTCCTGAAGCAGAAAGCCAGGGCATGAAGAAAAAGTTGTTTTGTTTTGTGCCAGTACTGGGGCTTAAACTCAGAGCTTGGGCACTGTCCCTTATCTTTTTCACTAAAAGCTGTTATTCTAAAGCTTAAGTCCACTTTTCTGGGTTTAATTAAAGATTAAGAATCTCACAGATTTTCCTACCCCCAGCTGGCTTTGAACCCTGATCCTCAGATATCACCTAGGATTACAGGTGAGAACGTTAGCACTTTACCTACTTCGTGTTTCTATTTATTAGAATGCTATCACGTGGTCAAATTAATCTATCAGGTAGTTGAGGAAACTGAGGCAAAGCTGCTTAGCTGAGATTATTGGTGAGTTAATAACAGAACTGGATTTGGAGCTCTGGGCTCCAAGTTCCACCTCAGGCCTGGAATTCCATTTGACCCCATAGAGACAATGGCCGATAAACAGCAAGATCTTCCATTCCGTTGAAGTTGAGGGCTGGAGGGATGTGTCACCACACACAGCCTCATCCCAGCTCAACTGACATCCACCTTTCAAGGCAAATAGTGAAAGATGGGGAGGACCCTTTCCAGGAAGGTAATAAATGCAGAGAAGCATAGGGTAAAAAGGGTCCAGGAGTGATTCTCAACTCCATTTCCCTTCCTCAAGGCTGAAGTCACCGACATGGCTCCAGGGGAGAAGTTTCTATCTTATTTCTAAAACCCTTCAGGGAACATTTCACAGTTTCCCTTCAAAGGGGGAATATCTCATTAGCCTTCAACACTGGCTGTCCAAGACAGAGAAAATTGTCATGGTGATTATATATATATGTATATATACATATATATATATGTATATATATATATATGAATACTCTGACAGAAAACATGATATGAGACATTTGTAGGGCAGAAAACATTTAGAAATATGAAGACTCAGGTATTAGAACTAAATACTGGCATCCATCACATGGTTTCTGCTTTAAGTTTCATAAAATCTTCCCTCCCCTCTTTTTTTCAGAGTAGTCCCTGTATGAGACCTTAGCTCAAGGAAAGTACGTTTCCAAGTGATTTGGAGGGGAAAACAAACACAAAATGGACTAAAAATTCCACCAATGGTTTCACATACATTCATGACAAATAATTCCAAGGCCAGAGGTTGCTCTGACAGGGAGAAGCTGGCCTGACCTCCTTGGGGTTAGAGTCTCTAGAAGCTAGTCACTTGGCATTTTATCTATAGACCATGCCGCCAATGCTGTCAATGGCTTTCAACTGCCTTCCCAACATTAAGTGATGGGACTCCAAGCCCTGAAAACCATGGGTGCCATCTGCCATGAGTCAGGATGGCCTGTGTGGGTGCATCCTGCGCTAGCTGGGTCTCAGGGTAGAGACTACCTAGGCTTCAGGGTCCCAGTCTCTGGGCAAAGATGCAAATGGACTATCCCATCCAATCTGGCTGTGGCACGTTGTAGTTCCTCTTGCCTTAGTTCAGGGCCCTTACTGCAGCCACTTCTCCCCTTCTCTCCATGTTCATGTCCTTGTGAGTGCTTCTCTTGTGGTGGACCTCTCTCTCTGCTTCCAATGTGGCTTTCCTCTTCCCTAGGAGAAGGAAGAGCTGGAAAGCTACATACTCCTTTCCTTACAAAACAGTGCTTCTAGAACCCATTCTGGCCTGTTCTATACAGTTCCAATGTTCTCTAGGTCTCCACCAAGAGCCCTGTAAGATCAAGCTGGAGACTGTAAGGTCGGCTTCTGGATGGCTAGTAGACTCCACCCTCCTCACAGCAAAGTCTCCACCCAGTACCTGTGTTACCTAGGCAACTGGGACACCTGGAAGAGGTCACATCTGCATCCGCTCAGGTCACATCTGAATTTGATGTGGCCACACCTTTCTCCGCCCATACTCTAGATAAGGCCTAGCCCAGGCCCAGACTCTATCTCTTTGCTCTTTTCTAGCTCTTTTCTCTCTCTTTCCTCTCTCTTTCCCAGCTCTCTCTCTTTCCCAAGCCTTTCCCAGTCACGTGGAGTGTCAACCCTCCATTGAATAAACCTACCCCTTACCTGAATACCACGTGCGTGGTGCAGTTCTTACTCAGCTACCTCTTTTTAAAAACCTATAGAGACAACACAGGGAGGAAACCTCTAGCCCTGGGGTCCACCCTCAATCAGCCAATGCCCAGCCAGAAGTGGATACCCAGAGACTCGGCATGTGGCTGCATGAGGCACCTGAGCCAGTGGAAGAGCTACCCCCATCAATCGCCATGATTTAGGGAGGCATGGACAGAGGGTGCCCCCAAAGGAGACCCAGAAGTGGGTGGAGAAGCTGAGCAAAGCTGAATCACTGTAAGGAGCAGAACTGTCCCATACTTGACACTGGCCATTTCAATAGGATGTTATACCTTCATC